AAAAAAAAAAAAAAAAAAAAAAAAAAAAAAAAAAAAAAAAAAAAGAGAGAGAGAGAGAGAGAGAGAAAAGAGAGAGAGAAATATATCTAACCACAGAGCTATGATCAAGTTTCACACAACAGAAAAAATATCCTGACAGCTTAAGTTTTGCACACTGCTCAATGCAGCCTTGTTTAGATTATTTTTAAATAAATTAGGAAGGATCTTAGAGACAGTGAATCCCCAGAAACTCAGCTCAGGCTAATTACTTTAGTGAGAATCACCGCTTAGGAAGCAAAGGAGACAGCTAGGAAAATGTGCTTTCAAAGACCTATCTGATACCAACCTCAGCTCGTGCCTGCAGCTCGTTCAGATCACAGGCTAAGGTTGGCAAACATGATTTAGCTTCTCATCTAACCAGACACTGAAAGCTGATTTAACAGAGCATGTGCTATAGTCAGCTTTTTTTTCTCAGGGCACGAAAACTTGCAGAAGCCCATCTGCTTTAAGATGCTCCCATTCTGGTCACAGACCAGGGATTTCTGGATCACCGAACTGTCTCCAGTGATCACAGAGCAGCATTCACCGAACAAGGAGCAGATTCACCAGATGCACATATGCATTACAGCTTTGAAAAGAAACCTCTGTTATTCCTTTAAAATATTTATTTCCTATGAATGTCTGTTCTATGGCAACATTTATCATGCAGATGTGGATGGTTATTCCTTATTAAACTCCATTTCCTTTACTATATTAGTAGCAGTAGTACACATTATAGCCGTTCATATGAGGAATTCCCTTTTCTTTGCAATTCCAACCCAAGTAATAATTTAACCAGGTAATAAAATTAATTTCCACCTTAGCTGTCTGCTTTTTCTAAGTGCTCCTGCAGTAGTGCAAAAATATAATTAAAGTTATGCTAATAAAATTATCCAACAATTATCCCATTATTAACCAATACATCCACCCAGTGTAGTTCCTTAATACACCTTTGTCTGTTTGCCCACACACACACAACCCCAACTCAGGTTTACTCTATACTGAAAAAAAGATCCTGGAAACAGAGTAAGAAAAACTGTCAAAAATGAAAATCTCTTCAGTTTCCACCTGACATGTGACAGAGAGCCTGATTCTATTACATGTTGGTCCATTAACAGTGCACAACAATCGAGGAAATCATTTTCCACTCATATTCAAAGCAATGGAAGAGAATCAACTTGAAAAATGCCCTTCCAAAAGCGGGGTGGGAGTGACGGCTGCAAATCCTTCTGTCTGTTCCAGGAAAATGGCAGCCTCTACTCTTGCTATTGTCATCTCCCAAATGAGACCCCTGGAAAAAGATCTAGTTCCAAAATCCCTTGGAGCTGAAGCAAGAAGTCTGAATGCAGTGAAGATTCTGCATCTAGGGGTGATTTTTTTTTTTCCTTTCTCTCTCTGAATACATAGCAATAAACAGATTTCCACTTAAAAGCTAAATGTTTGCTGACTAGGACAAGTGTACTTATCCAGAAGATGTACAGGATCGGCTGGCAAAGAGGGAAACAAAAGAAGCTGAAGTATTTCTAATGTAGCCTAACATTTAATCACTTACCACCTAGTTCAAATATTCAATTTAACTGAAGACAACAAATAGTGGCTCATTACTCCTAATGACAAATTATTCTGTTATACTGAAAAGAAAAATTCAAAAGCACACGTAGATAATTATTCCTTAAAAGCAATCCAGCTTTACATCTGTTAAGTGACAACACTAATCATGTGTCTTCTCTGTTTTGTGCAAAAATTATGATCACCTAGAGTGAATGTTTTTGATGCATGTGGTTACAGAGCCAGCAAGCAGCAGTGAAATCTTCAGAGCACCACTTCTTATCTAGAATTGCCTAGCTACCCATTTTTATTAGCCCAAAATGCTTCCAAATTGTCTCTTTTGAATTTCCGAGATCTACCTGCCACTTCAAGGAGATTACACTCCATTTGACAGCAAAGATTCAAAATACAGTACGGCTTCCAGTACTTACCTTGGAAAATGTCTAAAATGTTTCTAGATGTTTACATCTCTAGCTAACCACTGTCATATAAACACAGGAAAAATATACCTATAGCCCACATAATCTAAAAGAAATTTCTTGTGCCAATATTTTCTTTCCCTACCTTTTCAAATCAAATCAACTTTGCTGTTGAAATCTACTATACTGCAAGCAAGCAAGGTTGCATAGGCTACTAACTCTAGTTCACAAAATCCTTTAGTTAAGCAGCCAAGTTTTTACTTCTGCTATTTTCAAAATATCCATACTTTGTCAGGCACATCAGTTCCTCAAGTGATAGCTTCACTGCTAATAAAAGCAGTCAAATTGCTGGAATTTCCAACATGTCTAAGAGAGATGAGTCAACGTATCAATACCAATCTAAAACCTTTCGAAAGTTAGCATATCTTCTTCCATTCTAGTTCTGGAAGACCTTAAAACTTTTTAAAGTTGATCAGGTATAAGAAATAGTCTTCTGTGCAAGTTTTTCCCCTTAATATTTTTTTCTGTTAAAAAAATGCAGGCAATCATGGAGTTTTGCATTATGAATTTGCGATGAAGGCTGAAAACTGACCTAACTTAATCACAACATCATTTGATCACCTTCATTATCAACTATCTTTATTCCAAATATTTAGAAAATATGTGGTTTCTAATAATGGTGTATTTTGTGGCAAATTTTAATGACAAGAAGCTCAATTCTTTTGCAAATTCTAGATACTTCCAATATCATTACTTGCTAAGTAGTCTTTTCCAACACCTACAGCACAGAGCTCAGTGTGCTGCATAAAGCAGTTACAACAGACTTTGTATGGGTGGTACACAAGCAGATTTTAGAGAAAAAAAAGAGGAATTTTAGGACATGAAGACAACTACAGGACAGAAAGAATCTCGCATGAACTGACAACAATTGCAGCCCCTGAATTTGCAGGTAGTCAAAAAACACTGCAAAGAAACTCAGCAGGATTTCATGTGTATTCATATGCCTTTAGGGACATAAAAACACTGAAATTCTAAAAAACAAACAAACAAAAAATTCCACCACACATTTAACAAACTGCCCGTGTCTCTGGAAATATTCATCTATTTTGCCTGTATTCTTATGCAACCAAGAACAAGCAAGCTGTGAACCAGAAGCTATGAAACTGTATAGGGCTGTTTTGCTCACAGAGCTTCCGCAATACGTCCAAGCTCCTATGTCAAATATGAGGCAAAAAAAGCTGGGAGAATTCAATTCATCATCTTCACAGTCTACGTTCAGATATAACAGTAGTTGATTGATAATACAAAGTACGTGTTTTATTTGACACTGGACTGGCACTGGATATGGGAACTCAAAACTGAAACTATTTTTTTGTTGTTGCATTACAGTGCAAATGTCACAGTTAGGCCTACATGGAAACTGCATGAAATCTACTTGATGTTTCTAAAGTCCTTTTGAGCTCAGCATCTATATACATCGTGTAAGAAATATCTATTCAAAAATGGAAAGCACTGACTTGATTTAATCTTAAACTTAAGAGCAATTTTGACTATTTGACTAAGGCAAAAAGGAGTAGGGGGAAAAGGGGAATGTTTGTTGTGTTTGTAAGTGATTACAGCAACATAATGTAGAAGTCACTGCCCTACTAACAGTAAGGTCTGCTGATTAAAGTCATGTGCATATACCTGATAAAACATCTCTGAGCATCACTCTTTTTAAAACCACCACAGTGTTCTTTCAATATACGAGCAGAGAAGACAAACGCGCTCATAAAGGACTTATATCTTACATGGTAATATCTGGGTTAGGTCAAATGCATGCAGAAAAATCCTCCTCAGCAGTGCCACAAACTGTGAAAGGAAAACGTGATAGAAGATACTCAGTACCAGCTCCATTTTATCAATTTCTAGGTCAGTTGTTTGTCCTTTAAAATGTCAAAGCCAGCCAAACATTCATGACTGAAGTCCTTCTAAATAATATCCTGTATTTGAAAACTAAAATATGCTTTCTTCTAGCTTTTCAGATTAGCTTGATGTGAAGAATAAATTTGCCTACTGCAGGAAGAGAAATTTAGAACAAAAATTCAGAGTCCTTCCCAGGTACTGACCTGACACCCTTTTTTATGCTGTGGCAAAAAAATCATCGATGATCTTTTCACATTTTCATGGCAAAAGATTTAGGGAATGCTGCAGTCACTGCTGCCTGCCTCTCAACTATTTTCTGCCATTGAATCTGTGCTCTGCTTCACAGCTTTTATCCATTTAAGGAATTAACTCTGTTTGTCATCATCTGTGACACAGGTAATCTGATCATTATTAAATCTTAGCACAAGTTTTCTTCACTTGCAAAGGAACTTGCTAGTTTAAACCTTTGAACAATCTGGAACAAAACATAGAAGTTTCTCACTGAGGCAGAAAAGCATCTTCTTTTGCCTGTG